ACAGTTTTGAGGGGCCCAACATTTTTTAGGGGGCCACAAAGTTTTTGGGTGGCCAACTACAACGAACGTTTGATTTCACTACTTTTTCCATGAAGATTTGAAGGGGGGGATTTTAAGATTTACATTCAATAGATGTAGGGATAAATTTTAATACCTTTTTTGAGCTGTTAGTTGTTTTTAAACAGAAAAAAACGTTGAAAACGCCCCTGGAGACGAAACGTTGTCTTTTTGAGAGTAACCTCTTTGCAAACTAACTTTTTGGTTCCTTAATAACGGAAAAAAACCTTTAGCGAGGAAAATATTTCTTGATAAGCAGACACAGTGCAATTTGGGAACATTTACTCGGGAAAGTTCGCCACCCGGGGGTTTTTTCACCAAGCAGAAAAGGGTTGAAGATAGGATTTGGGGAATCGTCCCTCACCTGGGTTAAGGTTGATTCATGTTGATATAGAAAACAAATACAGTGAAAAGTTTTGGAGGAGAGTAAGCTCAGGGTTGGATATGTAGGAGAGAAGGGCGTTGTTGTCCCGTAAAAATCTTTGACTGGGGGTGTGTGATGTAAGTTGTAACATGGTTTTAACATGTAGATGGCTTTAAGGGCAGAGTGACTGGGGTGTCGGGGGGGAGGTAATAAATTTTGTACGGGGGGCAGTTGCGTTGTTATTTTCCGATGATGCATTTTTTTTGGCAAATTTTGAAGAAATTGAAAATGCAAAAAACCCCACATAGGGGGGAGGGGTGACCACGCTTTTGTCCGTTTTTCCATTGACAAATCCATTTTTGACTTTGTGATTGTTCCAGTCACGGTATTGTGTATTTTTTTTCTCCACAGTTCAAAGTTTTTGAGGTGAATTTTAGGGGGTATGTAAAAGAAGAAATTAAAAGTGAAAATACGAAGCAGGAGCCAAGCTGAAGAAAAACTTCCTAAATTTAGTATGGGCTGGTGTTTTTTCCTTCCAGTTTTTGCCCTTGTTTCCTGTTTTTCCCCCTCCGAAAACCTCTCGCTACCCTTCCTCTATCACCTAGTGTAGTAGTTGGTATTTTTTAAAGGCACTTTTCGACAAGAAGGGCTGTGTACTCACTTATTTGTTTGCAAGGGGAAGTCACACTCCCGGTCCCGCCTTTCGCTGGTCCCACTAGGTCCACTCCTTTCCCTCTCCATTTAGATTATCGTACCTCTTTTTAAAGCTGTGTGTGCAATAGGGCCAAAAAACCCTTCTTATACATTATTATTTTTTTTACACAAAGTTGAGATAAAGACAAGTCAAAACCAAAATGTTGAACACCAGAACCTGGTGACACCAGAACACTGTGTGAACCCAGAACACTTGTGAACACCCAAAAATGTGTCCCAAACCGAACACGTGTAACCCAGAAACCTGTGTGAACACCAAACCATGTGTAACACCAAACACGTGTCAAAAACCAAACACTGTGTCACCCCAGAACACTGTGTAAACCAAAACACTGTGGAACACCAGAACACTGTGTCAACACCAGAACACTGTGTCAACCCAAACAGTGTCAACACCCGAACAGTGCAACACCCAAAAACTGTTCAACACCAGAACACGTGCCCCACCAGAACACGTGTCAACCCAAACACTTTCAAAACCAAAAACTGTGTCAACACCAGAACACTGTGTCAACACCAGAACACTGTGTCAACACCAGAACACTGTGTGAACACCAGAACACTGTGTGAACACCAGAACACTGTGTGAACACCAGAACACTGTGTGAACACCAGAACACTGTGTCAACACCAAACACTGTGTCAAAAACCAGAAACTGTGTAACACCCTTTTACTGTGTCAACACCAGACACTGTGTCAACACCAGAAAAACTTTCAAAAACCAGCACTGTGTCAAACCATACAAAGTGTCAACCCAAAAAACTGTGTCAACCCAAACACTGTTCAACACCATACACTGTGGAACCCAGAACAGTGGAACACCAGAACATGTGTGAACACAAACACTGTTGAACACCAGAACACGTGTAAACCCAGAACACTCTGTCAACACCAAACCTGTCACACCAGAACACTGTCAACACCAAACCTGGTGAACACCAGAAACTGTGTGAACCCAGAAAAACTGGTCAACACCAAACACTGGTCAACACCAAACACTGTGTGAACACCGAACACGTGTGAACACCCGAACACTGTGTGAACCCAAACACTGTTCAAACCAAAAACTGTTGAAAACCCAAAAACTGTTAAAACCCAGAACACTGTGGAACCCGAAAAATGGGTGAAAACCAGAACATGTGTGAACACCAGAAAAACGTGTGAACCCAGAACACGTTCAAAACCAGAACCCGTTCAAACCAAACACGTGTCAACACCAAACACTGTGTCAACACCAGAAAAGTTCAACACCAAAAAAATGTTCAACACCAAACCTGTGTCAACACCCGAACACGTTCAACACCAGAACACTGTTCCCAAACCAGAACCTGTGGCAACACCAGAACACTGTTCAAAACCAAACACTTTTCAAAAACCAAACACTGGTCAACACCAAACACGTGTCAAACCAAACACTGGTCAAAACCAGAACCTTTGGGCAACACCAGAGCACTTGTCAACCCAAACACTGTGTCAACACCAGAACACTTTTAAAACCAGAACACTGTCAAACCAGAACACTGTTCACAACCCAAAAACGTGTCAACACCAAACCTGGTGAACACCAGAACACTGTTTTTAACACCGAACACTGTGTCAAAACCCGAAACTGTGTCAACACAGAACACTGGGTTAACACCCGAACCTGTGGAACACCAAACACTGGTCAACACCCGAACACGTTCAACACCAAACCTGTGCAAACCAAACACGGTCAACACAAACACTGTCACGTTTTGGTACACGGCTGTGGTCTACACACACAGCTGTGTGACACGTCTGTGGCCCCACAACAACCGGGGTGTACACGTCTGTGGTCTACAACCCCAGCGGGTGTACACGTCGTGGTTAACAACATGTGTACACGCTGTGGTCTACACACAGCTGTGTGTAAAGTCTTGGTCTAACACAGTGGTTTCACGTCTGTTCTACACAACCTGTGTGTAATCTGGGTCTACCCACAGCGGTGTAAACGTCTTGGCTACAACAAGTGCTACACGGCTGTGGTCCACACACAGTTGTGTAATAACCATTTTACATAACCATGTTACATAACCATGCACTAACCATTGTAATAAAAATTGTACATAAAACCCTGGTACTAACCATGTACACATGGTGTCAAAAAAACCCCACAAACGAGCCTAAAAATTTTTTTTTTGATTTTTTTTTTTTTTATTAATTTTTTTTTTAATTAAATTTTTTTTAAATTTAATTTTTTTTCAAAAAAAATATTTTTTTTTTTTATTGATTTTTAAATTTTTATTTAAAAAAAAAAAATTTTTTTAAAACTTGATTTTTTTTTATTATTTTTTTTTATTGAAAAAAAAAACTACCCATTGACATTTTTTAGCATAATAATAATAATAATTATTATTATTATTATACTTTTTAAAACAGTTAATTGGTATCCATTTTTTTTACGATTTACAACTGTGAGGAAGTGAAGGAACCGAGTGTGAGATAATAGTGAGAGAGAGAGAGAGAGAGAGAGAGAGAGAGAGAGGAGTGGCGTAAGTTATGTCTGGTGCTCAGTAACACGGAGGATCGAGCCTCCAACACGTCTTGTGTACACTCACACGCGCGGCTATAGCGCTCACCCTCAGTACAACACACTCACACACACTGGAGCCAGGGGCCAGGAGCTGTGAATCGACCCTTGCAACCACAAATAGGTGAGTACACACACACACACACAGGGGCCAGGAGCTGTGACTCGACCCCTGCAACCACAAATAGGCGAGTACACACACACACGGTGACGTATTAGAACTCTGTACAAAGCTTTGTTCCAAGCACATGGAACGCTCGCGCAGATATATCCGAACACACGGGACACAGTAATGTATCCGAACACACGGGACACTAATGTATCCGAACACACGGGACACTAATGTATCCGAACACACGGGACACAGACACATAAGGCACCAGTTGGACACTTGGGGTGACGTCGTTCATCCGAACACAGCGCTCTTTGAGACATCCGAACGCTGTATCCGAATGCTGTCATGAAATACGAACACTTCAGCATGTTATCATGAAAGTTAAGCCGAAGCCGGAGTCCAGATATCACCGAAGCATTCGGATAGTGTGCCAGAATATTGTACACTATTGGAACATAACATAAAACCTATCCGAACACCGCAGCCGGATATGAAGAGTTATCCGAACACTGAAGCCGGATATGTAGAGTTATCCGAACACTGCAGCCGGATATCATCAAAAGTTACCCGAACAGCCTGAGTGGACGTCGCTAACACCATCCGGACCCGGTTTTCGGACATTCTCAAACTTCCGAACGTTAAGCGAGCCGGATATCACGACTCGATAACCGAACCTTTACGTTATCAGAACGACTGAATAACGCAGGTTGAACTTCGTTATCACGGTGTGATATCGTATTATGTTAATTTCGTTGGTAACTCTGAAGATGCTATAACGAACTTTACGAAGGAATATTACCAAGATGATGATAATAATAATTCAGTGATAATTATAATTGTAACAGTATTAATTTCCAAGATAATTCAGTGATAAATATAATAATTACAAAGGTAACACTAATAATTCAATGATAATTATGATTACAAAGGTAACACTAATAATTCAATGATAATTATGATTACAAAGATAACACTAATAATTCAATGATAATTATAATTACAAAGGTAACACTAATAATTCAATGATAATTATAATTACAAAGATAACACTAATAATTCAATGATAATTATAATTACAAAGGTAACACTAATAATTCAATGATAATTATAATTACAAAGGTAACACTAATAATTCAATGATGGTTATAATTGTAATAGTATTAATTTCCAAGATAATTCAGAGATAATTATAATTGTAATAGTATTAATTTCCAAGATAATCCAGTGATTGTAATTGTGATAATTACAAAGATAACACTAATAATTCAGTGATAATTATAATTGTAACAGTAATAATTACAAAATAATAATTATCCACAATTGCATATATAGTAATTATAAACAATACTAATAACAGTAATGATAATTCCATGGAAATAATAATTGTAATAGTAATAGTTACAAAAATAATTGCAATAGTAATAATTACAAAAATAATAATAATTTTTTGAAAATAATACTTACAGTACACAGTAATAATAATAATTACATTAAAATACTATTTACGATTGTGATAACAGTAATACAGGGATAATAGTAATAATTCCATTATTATATTAATGAGTAAAGATAGTAATAATTACAGGCATAATACTAATAATAATTCTAATAATAGTAATAATAATTCCTTGATAATATTAATTTTTTTGGTTAGAACATGACTTTGTACGTGACCCTTGAGTTAGGACGATGGACTACACTCCGCTGAACGCAGTGTTCACTTTGTACACACGTGTTCAAAACATTCTCTAAGCTGCGGGGGAGGGGGAGAAGAAGAACAGGGAGTGAACACTGTTCAACCTGTACACGAATATTAGAACTTGTCAACAGATGCTTGAACGTCCTGAGTGAACTACCCGCGTGAGGGGTGTTCACTTTGTGAGGACTGGGTGTGTTCACTCTGTGAACACCAGGAAGTGAATGTGTTCAATTTCCTACACTGTGTATGATTACATTGTATGTGACATGTGTCACTGTAGTCTGTGTGTATAGTTGTATTATGTATGGTGTATATCACGGTACACATTATGCACTACGTACGATTCCACTGTATAGTGTGTATGATTGTCCTTTGCATAATGTTATGTATGATTACTTTTTTGTACAGTGTGCATGATTACATATAATGGATACGCTTAGACGCTACATAATATGTATGATTTGACGAAATACACAAGTTTAAACTGATGCCTAAAATACACTTATTATTATACATTATACACGTGAAGGGCTGGGACTTGTATAATCAAACCTTAATTGTATGTATAACTATTTAAATAGTGAAGTGGTTTATAAATGACCTTAAACATTATAACCTCCTACAGTGACTTATCTTTTGGTTGCTACTTAATTCAGACTTATAAATAAAGATTTGGTGTATTCTTTGTAGTATATACGTAACTCTCCTCTTTGTGTTAACGGTCGATGGGTCGAATCTTATATTAAACGTAAAGTGTCTTAACCTAGACTGGCTTAAGGTAGGTCAGGTCGAACTGAGGTCTAGAGGTGTATGTAGCTCTTGTGAGCGTGTGTGTGTGCGCGTGCGTCACTCATGTGCTGAATGCAGCAAGAGTTGGTAGATAGTGGTGGCAGCGATGGTATCCTGACGTGTTTCCTTAGTGGTGGCAGCGATGGGATCCTGACGTGTTTCCTTAGTGGTGGCAGCGATGGGATCCTGACGTGTTTCCTTAGTGGTGGCAGCGATGGGATCCTGACGTGTTTCCTTGGTGGTGGCAGCAATAGGATTCTAACGTTTTTATCTTGTGACTGGCAAATACTTGCTCATGCTAATACCTCTGGGTTGAATCTTTGCTATTCAGTATATCAGGTGGGTAGGTTTTAAATGTCTTGATCGTCTTCCACGTCGTCAGCAGCGATGTCTGGGCAGAACTGCAGCTTCTTGAGTGACCAGAAATCATAATGTCTTGGATAAAGCCACAAGACATTAGACTTTCACACATAGCGGCCTCGGACACGTGTGATTAAATTGTAAACACCTATTGCTGGAAGATAAGGTATTTGTCAGCTGTCAAAGACGCTTTCTTCCGAGTTTTCGGCTGTCAAGTGACCTTTTATGCATATATTGCATGTTTGGTTTCTTAGGCAGTTGTCTAGCTCAAGCCTAGGTGTTCCTGGCTGGAACACTGGCTGGTTCTCCCACAGGCGTACAACGTAGGGTATAACTCGTATTAAGAGGCTTCCCTAGAACTCAGGTGAGAACCAGAGTGTGGGAAGGTGACCTACGAGTATATCTCTACGGTGGTTTAGAAAGACACGTAAGCAAACACTATGACATATTTATTAGAAAACGTTTCGGTCCTGGGACCTTGATCAAGGTGATCAAGTGATCAAGGTCCCAGGACCGAAACGTTTTCTAATAAATATGTCATAGTGTTTGCTTACGTGTCTTTCTAAACCAACTTGTCGGTATTTATTACCAAGGTTTATACCACCTCTACGGTAAGATGAATACAGAGTCTGTGTTAACTGCACAGCTGAAATGTGTATGATTTTCACCAGCTAAAATGTGTAGGATAGAGCCAAAGATGTATATATTATTCTGCCCAGGTAAGAGGTATGTGATTCTGAGAAGCAAAGTTTACAGTTATTTCTGCGCACCGAAGATACAAGGGAATCTACACAACAATAAATGATTAATTAGGTATCATCTAGGTGACAAAGATGTGTGCTGGTGGCTTAGAAACAGGTGGTATTGCAGGTGGTATAAATACATGTAGTTCTGTAGATGGTTTAGGCACAGGTGGTCATGTAAGCCGCTTAAATACAAATGATCTTAAATACAGATTCGGGTGACCATACAGGCGGTGGCTTGGATAAAGGTGGTCTGATAAGTTGTTCTAGATGCAAGTGGTTCTATCAGTGATGACTTCAGGCACTTGTGGGCGGTGTAGGAAGGCTGTGGTCTGGTCGTCTTTCACGTAGGTGGGCGTGGGTGGGCGGTAGTCTTGGGATGGTGCTCGCCAGGCGTACTGGTAAACACAAGCTGCTAAGATGCCGCCACACACTGGTCCAACCCAGTACACCTGCAACACAACACAGCCGGTATTACACACACGGGAATGGTACCTTGTAGCACGCAAGCCACACCACACATGTATCATACACACGAATGCACATTTGTTACTCGTATATTGGTAGCCCTCCCAGTCTAGCCAAGCAGACTTGGTCGGTGTGGTCTCCTGTTGTATCACCATAATCACCCTCAATAATTGTCAGCAATATCATAGACTCATTTGAGTGCCTGTGACATCATTCAAATACTGCGGTGAAGACATCAGCAGTACTCCAAAGAGTACAAGCTATATTAACTTCCTAGACTTCACGCTACAGCACTCAACGTACAAAGACCATATTAACCAACCATGTCTCGTATTTACTTCCATATAACAAGTAACTGATGTGCCTGTATAACGGCATTGCTTATAAAATAAATATCTTTCAGATGTGACTCTTTGATCAGTGGGTCCTGAGATTATCTTCACCCGAAGCGGCGACTCGATCCCTGCAACCACATTTAGGTAAGTACATACACCCTAACACACTGGCCGGACACAGAAGCTACAGCTCAGCATCCATCAGCATAAACAGGCAAGTTTAAATATTATTAGACTATTCTAGGCTATATTGTGTAGTATCGTTAATAGGGTGAGGGTAAGGTTAGATTAGGTTAGGTTAGGCTAGGTTAGGTTAGGCTAGGTTAGGTTAGGTTAGGTTAGGCTAGGTTAGGTTAGGTTAGGTTAGGTTAGGTTAGGCTAGGTTAGGTTAGGTAAAATTTGTCAGAAAACAGGACAGGCGTTTCGTGATGCGGGTTATATGATAACCCGCAGCTGGAACTTTCGGTCATCTGATCGAAGCCTTCTACTGGCAGTAAGATTGCTTATATGTGTAATAAAATAGGTTTACAGTATCGTACGTCAAGTGGAGCAGGACACTTATGTGAAGCTTAGTGTTGAAACGTTTCGCCCACACAGTAGGCCTCTTCAGTCGAATACAGAGTGTAGGGTGAAGGTAGCAGATGTGACGAGTTAAAGCCGATGTAATCAGTCCATCAATCTTGTAGAAATAGTGGGACTGACCACCTCCAACTATTTCTACAAGATTGATGGACTGATTACATCGGCTTTAACTCGTCACTTCTGCTGCCTTCACCCTACACTATTTATTTGACTGAAGAAGCCTACTGTGTGGGCGAAACGTTTCAGCAATAGAGATACCCAGCTGTTGCACATGTGTCTTAATCAGCTTGTCAGTATTTTATACCATCTTCAAGTTGACTCTTGCACATACAGTACACACTAGAGATATATCGGATGTGAAAAATTAGATATCCGCGGATGCGGATGTGTATGAGGATGTCTTACCTATTTTGCGGATGCCTGTTTACAGTAAAATGCGGATGTTAGGCGGATGCGGATATCCGATACATCTCTAGTACTCACAGCAGCTGCTGTAGTTCCTTCATACCTGTCTCTGTACATGTAATTAGGTATCCTCTAAGAGGAAGGTGCCTTGAAGAGGCTGACAAGAATCTCTTCCAATATTTTCGTTTGTACTTACGAACGCCTCACCTAACCCGGTTACTTAGGTGTCACTTTTATTGAATAAATTTTGGAAATTGAAATATTAATTGTCATGCTATAATTCGTAAGGTCCTCGGTCGATCGAGTTCAAACTTTCGGTACCGAGAATTTGAGAATGCAACTGAGCGCCTTGAGGCTTGAAATACTTCTTCGGATTGGCTTCAAACTTCCCAAGCTGGTCTGTCTGCCAATTTCCTGTTAATATTGTGGAATTAGGATATTAGTCGCCATGTGATAACTTGTAATTCCCTCTTCCAGTTGACTTCCGATATTCAGTGTCGGTATTTAGCTGCATTAGATACTTGTGCTGTGCTCTGCACTATTCCTTTGTCGTGCCTTGGGGTGCAGGCTGCTGGGGATATGGGATACAGGGATACCTTGATAGGATGGCGCCAGGGTTATGGGATACAGGGATACCTTGATGGGATGGCGCCAGGGTTATGGGATACAGGGATACCTTGATGGGATGGCGCCAGGGTTAGGGATACAGGGATACTTTGATGGGATGGCGCCAGGGTTAGGGATACAGGGATACCTTGATGGGATGGCGCCAGGGTTATGGGATACAGGGATACCTTGATAGGATGGCGCCAGGGTTATGGGATACAGGGATACTTTGATGGGATGGCGCCAGGGTTATGGGATACAGGGATACCTTGATGGGATGGCGCCAGGGTTATGGGATACAGGGATACCTTGATGGATGGCGCCAGGTTATGGGATACAGGGATACCTTGATAGGATGGCGCCAGGGTTATGGGATACAGGGATACCTTGATGGGATGGCGCCAGGGTTAGGGATACAGGGATACCTTGATGGGATGGCGCCAGGGTTAGGGATACAGGGATACCTTGATGGGATGGCGCCAGGGTTAGGGATACCTTGATGGGATGGCGCCAGGGTTATGGGATACAGGAATACCTTGTTGGGATGGCGCCAGGGTTAGGGATACAGGGATACCTTGATGGGATGGCGCCAGGGTTAGGGATACAGGGATACCTTGATGGGATGGCGCCAGGGTTATGGGATACAGGAATACCTTGTTGGGATGGCGCCAGGGTTAGGGATACAGGGATACCTTGATGGGATGGCGCCAGGGTTAGGGATACAGGATACCTTGATGGGATGGCGCCAGGGTTATGGGATACAGGAATACCTTGTTGGGATGGCGCCAGGGTTAGGGATACAGGGATACCTTGATGGGATGGCGCCAGGGTTATGGGATACAGGAATACCTTGTTGGGATGGCGCCAGGGTTAGGGATACAGGGATACCTTGATGGGATGGCGCCAGGGTTAGGGATACAGGGATACCTTGATGGGATGGCGCCAGGGTTAGGGATACAGGGATACCTTGATGGGATGGCGCCAGGGTTAGGGATACAGGGATACCTTGATGGGATGGCGCCAGGGTTATGGGATACAGGGATACTTTGATGGGATGGCGCCAGGGTTAGGGATACATGGATACCTTGATAGGATGGCGCCAGGATTATGGGATACAGGGATACCTTGATGGGATGGCGCCAGGGTTATGGGATACAGGGATACCTTGATAGGATGGCGCCAGGGTTATGGGATACAGGGATACCTTGATAGGATGGCGCCAGGGTTATGGGATACAGGGATACCTTGATGGGATGGCGCCAGGGTTATGGGATACAGGGATACCTTGTTGGGATGGCGCGAGGGTTAGGGATACAGGGATACCTTGATAGGATGGCGCCAGGGTTATAGGATACCTTGATAGGATGGCGCCACACTTAGTCAAACATAGCTAGTGTGTTTTAGTGCCCAATAAGAGCTCTAATCTTCAATATTATCTAATTCTAAATGTATCCCTATAACCCATAAGGTACATCAATGTATCCCTATAACCCATAAGGTACATCAATGTATCCCTATAACCCATAAGGTACATCAATGTATCCCTATAACCCATAAGGTACATCAATATATCCTTATAACCCACATGATACATTACACTATAGAGAACGTGTGAGAATATGCAGTAATGTCTTAACTTTGAGAGGTCACATGCTTTCTTATGGTTGATCAGAGTTCCTGTGTTTGTTGACGAGTGAGCGAGGGTGTGGGTACTGTGTTGTCATGTACTTGGTACGGACAACGCGACGAGTTGAACAATGGTACTTGGGTAGCATTTAGGGAATGATATTGGGAAAACGTTTCGCCAGCCAGTGGCTTGTTTAGTCCAATACAGAGAAGAGCTGTGGATGATGAGGGGGAGTTTGGGGTAATCAGTCCCTCAGCAACCTGGAGTCGATGTGATTTTTATTTTCAAGATTGATGTACCGGATACATCGACTCCAGGCTGATGAGGGACTGATTACGTCAGTCTCCTCCTCCTCCTCATCCTCCACAGTTCTTCTCTGTATTGGACTGAAGGAGCCACTGGCTGGCGAAACGTTTCTTTAATAAACATTCCCCAAATGTTGCATTAAGTGTCTTATGCAACATTGTGTTCAACTAAGTGTTGAACACTTAGTTCAACACACCGTATATTGCACACTTCTCCACGCAGATACCTGGAGTTTACTTGGAGAGAGTTCCGGGGGTCAACGCCCCCGCGGCCCGGTCTGTGACCAGACCTCCTGGTGGATCAGTGCCTGATCAACAAGAGAAGACAGGAAAGTTTTAATACACGTTATGTACTGTCATGCAATAAGCATGCAGGTACTACCTACTTCATGCACCAGTAATGAAGGTACTAGCTGTATCATGCACATGCAACACGAACCACATCTCCAGGGTATTACACGGGGTTACGCATCATGTGTTGGGAAGGGTGACATTAATATTGGATGTGAAGGGAAGGGAAGGGATGAGGAGGGAATGGAAGGAAGGTGGAGACACAGAGGCTGGTGGATCAGGAGATGTAATCCCCTCCCTCATACACATATATGCTGATATTTACAAATATTATCTCTCAGTTCACAGCAGGATTCGAACCTGCACACTCTGCATCAAGGTACGCGGTACTTTATCCACACAGCCAGACCTGAAGTACTGCGTACCTTGATGCAGAGTGTGTAGGCTCGAATCCTGCTGTGGACTAAGGGATTATGTTCGTAAATAATTTTGCCCGTCTGCGAATTAAGCATATACTGGTATATAAGAAGTCACATGGAGATGGAAATCTTTGGCTCTAGATCTTTCACACTCTCGTGCGTCGTCAGGAGCTATGCAGTGTTGCAAGACAGCGACAGAGGGGAAATTCTCTGAGACAAGGCAGAAGGTATGAACGGGCCGCGAATGATACCTTCTGCCTTGCCTCAGAGAATTTCACCTACTATCTGTTGCCGTCTTGGAACATTGCATAGCTCCTGACGACGCACGAGAGAGCGAAAGATCTAGAGCTAGAAATTTCCATCCCCGTGTGGCTTATTCTGCATTGCTAAGATCGCCTGCTTGTGACTATTAAG